AAATCCCCCAGGCTCCTCTGTAACCCCACCCTACCTCATATCTTGTCATCCTGCTTGCCAGCCCTGTGGAAAGCCATGCTGTTGGATGCAGGTTGCCATAGAAACAGGCCACTTCTGTGCCCCCTTAGATGCTGGGCCACTGTGCAGCCAAGAGGGAGCAAGAGCCCACCTGGTCACATCGAAAGAACTTCTTGTCATTCAGGAAATGGCACCTGGAACTGAAGGCTGGGCTGAATACCATTCCTTCATATCCTCCTTGACCCATTTCCGTGATCAAACCACCGGTATCAACCAGCCCTGTCTGCAAGACCATGTAGAACAAGGGATAGAAGCAAGAGCAAGAACAAGAAGGTGCTTCAGTCTCCACTTCCTTCTCCTGCTCCTAAAACAGAGCCTCCCAAAGTGGGTGGCTCTAATTTCACCTTTATGACCCCCACCTTGGGAGGACAGCATTTGGCAGTGCTGACCAAGGGCTTCTTGACAGGTTACGGTAGGCCCCAGCAAGAGCCCTGGAGAACAGTAAAATAGTCCAGAATGGTGGAAGGGGCGCCAGAACTGTAGGGAAGAATAGACTTTGGTCCTGTCTCTGCCACCAACTCTGCCCCTTATCTTGGGCAAGTGACTTCCCATTCCTGGCCTCAGCATCCTCATCCATAAAGATGAGGACCTTGACTGTAGTGATCGCCATGGGTTATTTCCAGCTTTAAAATTCTTTGGCCAATACTCAGACAATTCCTGGAGAGAGCGCTAAGCTGAGTGGACAGGCAGGAAAGGCCACTTCTCCTCTCACAGAGATTTCTAGTCACTTCTGTAGATTTGTATTTTTAAAAAAAATCATAACAGAAATCATGGAAAAAATAAAACTGGAAACAAGAGGAGGATAATCTGAATTTAGGTGCTTTTGTATTTCTGCAAATATGTAATCAACCTTGTTGCTTTGAATAATATACCAGATTAGAATTTAAGGATCGCCTTTGAGAATTGTGACCGCCTGTGGTCAAAATGCAAAACTAGAGGGAAACAAAACTTCTCCTGCTTGCCCCCTTATCTCTCATGACAATCATTCTCTGCCCTCTCCCTTCTTCTCTGTCCCTTGTTGGTACCTGGTTGTTTATGAAGTTCTTCCTGTTTCTGGATGTAGTGCCTCTGGAGTGTGGCGATCCTTCTCCAAAGTTTTATTTTCTACACTTTAAACATTTTAAAAGTTTCATAGGCATTGCTCAGGTAGAAGTAAAAACTTCTGGCAAATCTTCCCTCCCTTTCCACTCGCTCCTCTTCCCGGCCTTAGGGACCCAGGCATCTGCAGGGGTTCCTGCTCCCATGCCCTTTGCACTAACCCTCAGGGTGACCTCTGGCTCAGGGTCAGCCTGGCCCTCCCTCCGCAGCTGCAGGCCCACCTGCCTACTCAAAGCCAGCTCAAGCCCCAGGACTAACAGCTGCTCGGACTTAAAACTCCAGCCCTCTGGGGATGCTTGAGAGTTGGGGGACGGCATTCTGAAGGAGAGAGAGGGGGAGGGGGAGGGGGAGGGAGGCGTCAGAAGGGAAATCAGAGGAATGGAAAGGAAATCGGCCCTCACTGCGCCAGCCATGCTTGTTCTTCCAGTCTGAGCCGACACAGCAGAAAGAAGGGAAAGATTGGGGAAAAAGGCAAGAAAAGTCAAGTTAAAGCACCGTCTCTTGTCTTCCCACCTCCCGTTTTGGTTGGCTCAGGCACAGCCAGCCTCTCAAAGACTTGTTTCAAAGGGAGGGAGAGCGGGTGGGAAAGGAATCTGGCTCCTTCAGTTTTCCATGATCTTGTTCAACCCAGACATAAATTTGGCCAAAAAAGCTAACGCTGGAACTTGACTTCAACCTGGCGTTTGGACTGGGCTTGGAGTTGAAGCCAGGGTGACGGAGACCAAACCCCTCCAAGTAGCAAAGGCTGAATTTATTTTCACGTAGGTAACGCGTTTTTTTTTCTTCTTTCTTTCCCAGAGGCATATTTTCTCTCTTTGCCTCTTATTTCTCAGAGACAGGACTGAAACCCAGGACTGCTCCCTATATTTCAAACTTCAGGTCTCTGCCAGCACAGGCGAGGATTCCCAGACCCAGTTGGGTATGCCCAAGGCCCCTTCCCCTGACAATGCCAGAGCAAAGCCCGACCCTTCTTCGACTTGCTGCAGCTCCCGGACATTTGTTAAGCTGGGCCCAATAAAGAGCTCCGGTCTCTCGCCTCCTCGCAGGCTCACGCACACCGCCCTCGGTTTCTATATCTATCCCTGCCCCTGAACTGGCCAAAATAAAATGCAGGAGAGGCGCGCTCTCAGCGCCCAGCTCTCCAGGCGACTCCCGCTCGGGTTGCTCAGCAACGCGCCCAGCAAAACACCAGTCTCCGCCCCGCTCCCTCCCCGGAGCTTTGGCTGCCTGCCGCCGGACTCTCCTCCACTCCCCACTTCTGATTCCAGAAATGCACCTTTTTTTTTGGGGGGGGGGGGTGTTATATAATATAAACATATAATAGATTCTTTGGTTGTATATGTAAATATATAATTTAATATATGCACATTAAATGGCCATATTATATTGCAATATACAGTGTTATATATCTATATTCCCTCTATATATCTACGTATCTTGCAACTGCGGGAGAGGCAGCAAGTCCATGCTCAGATTTGGGTGACAGAGGAGGGGACAGATGAAGAGGGGGCAGGAATTTTGGCTGCAGGACAGAAAGGATACCCCCCCCCCCCCCCCCTGTCCCTTTTCTTTTTCTTAAAAACCGTGTCTGCGCCATCTCCAGCCTTTTAGGCATAGCTCTCCAGCTGAAAGGCTTTTTCCAGGAGCTCCCACTCCCACCCGGTCTTTCCGAGGAAGGCGTCAGCCTCGGTTGTAGTGGAGCGCCGCCGGGCACCTGCCTTAGGTCGGGCGGGGTTGGCAACAAGCGCTGGGGCTGGGAAGCGTTGGAAAAGGTGCTTCGAGTTGGGCCAAAGGCACCCAGAAGGTGGGAGTTGAGAAGAAGAGTTACAGGGAACTGTAAAGGGGATCTTGCTTGAGACAAAATTCGTGTGTGTGTGTGTGTGTGTGTGTGTGTGCATGCGCGCGCTTAGAGCGTGTTGAATTGGGAAGCTGGACGCGCGCTTGCTTTGCTGTCCGCTCAGCAAATGCGCGTGCGCGTGCGCCCAGCGCACACACCTCCTACACCAACTACAACACACCAGTCATACCGCTGGGCAAAACAAATGGGGCCAGGATGCAGCTGAGTGATAACTTGCATATTTGTGATGTGACAGGATTGTTACCCAAGTGCTAGCTCCTGGGCCAGGTCATCAATTCATAAATTTTCGGCTGGAAGGAGCTTAACTAAAATAACCCGGTAAATTGGTCCCTGAGGATTCCGGGGCCTGCACGTCCCCCCCACCCCCCCCCCCCCACTTTTTTTTCCTTGTCTTTTTTAGGCTGCAACCCGTTGAACTACTATCACATATTGCAGGGCTGGAGGGGCTAGTGCCTGCCACAGTCAGATTCTATAGTTCGCCAGGGATGGAAGCTGAACCCAGGCAGGTTCTTCCGCCTCTTGGCCTGCGTGGAATTACTCCTCTCCTACGTGTAGAGTCCATAGTTTGCTTTTAAGAAAACTCGCCTTGGATTGCTTGTGAGTAACGGAGAGGGATAGGTGGGAGAGAATGGCAATGTAAGAAACTACACCAAATAAACATTATTTTAGCTAAGTGTTAACACCTTTAGGAGACATCCATAACCAAGTTGACTTTTCAGACTTTTTGTAGCGTTAAAATATACGTTTTTAAAGTCAGTTAACTCCAAAATGAGTTATCCAGTTTAACTGGAGGTAACTCCAGCTTGAGGAGGCAGAACTGTTTTGATTGAACAAGCAGCTCTGTCAATCATTTAAACCCCAGACTCCTGGCGCCGAGAATTTGGGGGCGGGGCAACGGAGGCAGGCGGAGCAAGAGGAGGGAGGCTTCTGGCGCGTGGACTTTTCCTCCGCCCCTTGAATTTTGCATTCCAAGGCCCCTCCTGCATTTACGCCACACCCACTAGTGATCTGGTTTGAGAGACTTGGGGCGGGGGGTTGGGGCTAGGGTGGAGTGGAGGGGACCGGATGGGGAGCGGGGATCAGCATACTCCGGGAAGTTGCGAAATTTGAATCCCCCAGCCCTCTTTGCCTTCCAACCCTATGTCCACCTTTCATCCTAGGTAAAATCGGAATTGAGGAGACAAAAAAAGGGAACCAGATTTACAGACGAACACCAAATGATTCTTTCCTATTCCTCCACCCCCATGCCCTACCTCAGCGCCCCTGAAGTATTCTTTCCCTTACTGAAAGAAAAAAAAAAAAAGCTTTTTGCAATCATATCCAGTCAAAAGCATTGTGTACACATGGGAGGGGCCTTAAGATCCCCATCCGAAAGGTAATTGCTGCTAAAGCTGTGTGTGTGCGCGCGGGGGGCGCGCGCATGTGTAGGGGTGGAGGGTTAGATACTTCTGAAGGAACGGGGGTGGGGTGGAGGGCTGGGAGGGACAAAGGTGGAATTAGCTCAGAAGATGGGTAACGCCTCTCCTGGCCCCAATTAAACCAGTATTTTAACAAGAGGGGTTTTTTCCCCCCAAGTTCAGAAAAAAAGTGGGGGTGGGGTGGAGGAGGGAGTCAATAACGTAACATACACTTTTTCAGATCCGATAATAGGTACCAGGGGATTTGGACCTTGAGACTTGAATAGGAGCTCAGTCAGTATTCGGATGAGGTGGAAGGTGAAGAAGGGCTCAGGTACGTGGAGGTAGGCGAAGAAGGAGCAAAAGCTAGGGGAGGCTGGGATAGACACCCAGCCTCCCAGGGTGGCAGAATACTCCAGGGCTCCAAGTCTGAGGTGCAAGGACCCTCCCCAAAGACTCCCAAGATACACCCGGCTCTAAGCCACTTGCTGCGCAAAGCGCGCGCGGGCCCAACCCGTCCCGTGTTCCCCGCCCGTGCGCCGCGTAACTGGCACACTGAGCGCGCTCACCGATCTTGGCTTGCTCGCGGTAGCTCTTTTCGTTGAGGCAAACCCCGCGGCCGTGCAGCAGGGCGTGCAGCGGCTTCTCCTCATCTTGCCGGGGGAGGCAGCGCAACCCTTGGGCGCAGCGCTCAGTGTAGACGCCGCACGACTGCCCCTCTGCCAGGGCGCAAGTCATGCAGCAGCCGCAGCCTGGTTCCTTGACCAGCTCACAGCCCAGAGGGCTGGGGGGGCACATGGAGAGAGATTTCTCGTCGCAGGGCTCACAGTGCACGAAGGAGCCCAGGCCCTGGGTCGGCCCCGCATAGGCGGCCAGCAGCAGGAGGACCGTGGTGAGCACCATCTTCTCAGAGTCTCCCTTTACTTCGGGGCGGGGCAGGAGAGCGAGAGTGCGGGGAGAAGAGAAAGGTGCCAAGAGGGCGTCCGGAGATTTTTTTTTTTTTTTAAATCTTTGGCAGGTAGAGCAGATGCCCTCCCCCAGACACTTGCAAAATGTGGGGAGAGAAGGAGGATCGAGGTGCCTGCGAGCAAGTCCCAATTGCAAAGATTAAAGACTTGCAACAGGTAGGGGGGAAAAGGAGTCGCGCCAGGTGCACTCAGAGTGCGCGGAGGCTAGAGAACCCCCCCAGAAGGACCTGGTCAGAATTGCAAGGGGGAAAAGTCACACAATTGCTCACCCTAAAGCAACCACCGAAATAATGAGCTCGGAGGCTGTGAAGAAGAGGGTGGATGGGGGGAGAAAAATGGATTTGTCTTCAAAAATTTTGCTTAAAATCCAAAATATACCCCACTCCTTTCTAACCCAGGGGCGTGCGGCTGCCAGCAAACAGGTAAAAGACGTTGGCGGCAGCCGAAAGGGTGGGAGAAAAGGCTGAAATTAAGGGGGAAAAAAAGCCCCCCCCCCCACCAAACCCAAACTCTAACACCTCTTTTTCTCCCACTCTGCCACCACCTCTTCGAAATTCGCAGGTTGTGCGTGAAGTCGGGAGAAGGGTGCAAATGGAGGGGGCAATAAAAGGAGCGGGGGGGAAAAAAGAAGAAAAGAAAAAGAAAAAAAAAAAAAAAAAAAAAAAGGTAAAAGCCCACACGGCTTTGCAGCTCTTTCCTAGCTCTTTTCCCCCCCTGGCAGAAGTTTCCAAAGAGACTGCGGGCTCCGGTCGAGCAGGCGCTTTTAAATAGACGGCCCCTGGCTGCCAGCCAGTTTGTAGCTGCAATTTGAGCTCCCCAACACCCAACCCAGGCAAGGATGCCAAGGAGCTTTGCAGCACAAACTCACACGGGGTGGGGGTGGGGAGAGGCCTTCTAGACACACGGGGGCTCCCCTTCGCTCCCTGAACAGCGCCCTCCTCCCCCCGGAATGTAAGAAAGGGGCTTTGGGGGACAAGCTGGAGCTGCTGAGAAGGGGAGGACGTGGAGGGGCAAGTGGAAGGGAAAATTCTTCGGAGCAAAGTGAACACAATGAGAGTGACTTGGTGTCCCCTCCCCTCCTGTCCCTTAACTAGCCAAGATACTGGCTGGAGAAATATGCATTTTCTTATTAGCTAACTAGATATATACCATGCCCAAGAAATTCTTCCCAAGCTTTGGAAAACTACTGTCTGCTAGTATCTGAGTTACCCTGTAAGGTGTGTGTGTGTGTGTGTGTGTGTGTGTGTGTGTGTTTGGGGGACCAGTAATGTACAGTTGTCGGTAATGGGTGGTGAGTTGAGTTAAAAAAAAAAAAAAAAAAAGAGGAAGAAGAAGCAAAAGAAAAGAAAGAAAACCTGAATTTCCCCCACTTCCTGCCAGAAAGTCTGGGAATGGAGTTTCTTTCTAGTAGGGTGACTGTCTTTGGTCATATGGTCAAGAAGTGGTCAGGGGGTTGTGTGTATGTGTGTGTGCATGCTGTGTGCTTGCAGGAAGGGACATCATCCAACAGCATTGTCGGGGAGTAGTGAGTTGCTGAGACCCTCTTTGGAGGAAACATTGCTAGGTCTGTAAACCTTGTCTGATGCCCTAAGGTGTCCTTGTGTGGAGTTTTTAGATGGAAGGAAGGCAGATCGGAGTGACACCCACCCTTCATGCTGTTTTAAAGAGGTATTTCTGTTGGGCTGGACCATTCCTTAAGGAAATGGGTGCCAGACCAGGGGAGAACTTGTCCTAAGAGTAATGGGTGCAAACAGACACATCCCAGGGATTTTTGATTTCAGGGCCATGGGACCTGCTCAGAAGAGATCCTGACAACAAACTTTTTTGTGCCACCTGATACTTCAGCCAGTCTATTAGGCACTGTGGTCCCCTTCTTTTCTTAGGAAAATGAAAGAAAACTAAAGCCCTGATAGAAGGAAGGTGATATTTTCTGAAATTGACGTGATAGGTGGGCTATGGAAGACACAGGCAGGTCAGAAAATGACCAGTGGGCAGTGACCCTTTTGTGAGTACTTGGGGTGGGGCTGTTACCTATTTTACATTTCCCTTCCTCCCTTTGGAAGTTCTCTAACACTCCTTTGGAGAAGGGGCTGCATTTCATGAAGTTTGCCACTAGACTGCACCCTTATCTATGATAAGAATTCTTTCTGGTGGATTGCTTTAAAAAAAAATATTTCTCTTGCTAGTTCAATTCGGGAACGTCTCACTTGATGCTGTTCACACCCCCAGATCCCGATCTCTCTCCTCACTTATCTACTTGCCGAAAGGCATATTTTAAAACAAGCCTAAAGTTTAAAGTTGTGCTTTTGCTCCTATTGCCAAAGGAGTTTTAGGCGTTGGCTGGGAGAGGGAGGAGAAACTGTGTGTGTGATGATTAAATTAAAAAAAAAAATTTAGTAAGGCTGATTCCAATTGCTTCTCCCTTCTGTCTGGAGTCTTGGGAAGCAGGGAGCAAATTAATATTCAAAAATTTGGTTGAAGCATTTTAGAAGTGAGGGAAGTCATGTGTTATTTCCTCACATGTGTCCAGTTCAGACTAGAAGAACAGTGCATGGTGTGTGATCCCTTTCTGCAGGGCCCCAGCAGCTCTGCTCACTGTGGGTACACTGGTAGCATTTGAGATGAATGGGGAAATTGGGTGTCCTTTGGAAGGAACATAAGTTGCCTAGTTCTAGACACCCTGAATTCCCAGAAGATGGTGTCAAGTGACACCTCTTTTTGTACAACTGATTTCCAGTGGCTGAAAAATAGAATGTGTGAGGACAGGGGCAAGGAAGAAGGGTAGAGAGAAGGAAGAAGAGAATGTGGTGGGAGCTGGTTCTTAAGGGAGGACAGGGGTATGAGGAGAGATCACTCTGCTTAAGACTGTCAGCGATAAGCCACTGGTTTTTTTTTTTTTTTTTTTTTTAGATTTTTATTGTTGGGTTATAATTATGCATAAGGAGGATTCATTCTGATATACTCACACATGCACATAGCATACATTGACTTATTCCATTCCCCTGGACTTCTTCTTTACCTCCTTTCCTGTGTCCACTGATCCCCATCCTCCTGGTCTCTCTTCTATCTTCATGATGTCCCTTTTTTAGCTTTCACATATGAGAGAAAACAAACAACCCTTGACTTTCTGAGCTTATCTTTCTTAGCATGTTCTCTTGTTCCATCCATTTCGCTGCAAATGATGCAATTTCATTTTTTAAGGATGAGTAAAACTCCATTGTGTGTGATATCTATCTATCTATCTATCTATCTATCTATCTATCTATCTATCTTACATTTTCTTTACCCATTCATCTATTGACAGGCACCTAGGTTTCTTTCATAACCTGTAAGCCACCATTCTTTATTTCCCCTTCAAAATGGGTTTAGGTCTAGAGGAATTCAAAGACTAGAGCTACTGTCCTAGGGCTCAGGTGAAGTTTCCCAAAGACACAAGAGAAATAAGAATTCTTGGCACCCTGGGATGTTCTAGAATGATTTTTTTTTCCTAAATATTGGGGATTGGCAGTGTGAGTTTTGCCTCGAGGAGTCCATAAGTAATATAGATCAGTGGAGGGGGAAGGTATGGAGTGGTGGGGCTTGCCTGCAAGCCTCTGCTGATTCCATTCCTCCTGTCCTCCATTCTGAAGGTCCAGGACTCTTCACAAATACCTTTAGAAGTTTGCTTCTGGAAAACAAAAAGTTTGCATCAATGAGTTTCATTGGGAAGGGCTCATTTAATCATGCAGATACTAATGTCAGAGGCAGGTGCCTGGTGCCCTCCCCAGAGACCTGCTTTGCTACTGATTCATTTTTGCAGCCATGAACTTTCCTACTGTGGCACAGATGAGCTTCTGTATCTTTTAGCCATATCTTGCTTGGAGATGTAAGGATTTCAATATCATCTTCTTGTGTCCTGTTTTCCCAGAGATCACTCCTCCCTTTCCTTTAAAACATTAACTCTGTATTAAAACCAAGTTTCAAAACATGGGATTGGGTCAAAAAATTGTGGTCTTTATCTGCACAATTGGTTTCAAGAGGCAAATGGCATTTTTATTTTATAAAGTTTCCGAATCCTTACCTGTGGTCATTTTCCGTGAGTTTCTTAGTGATTTCCTGGGCAAGGAGATGCCTGATAACACAATTTAGAGAAGTTAGGCTTTTTAACAGTACACAAAATATTATGGGTTCTTCTGGTTAGGAGGGAATAACACCCACCACCCAAGGGGCTTTTCCTCAGTTTCTTCTATGTGTTGCTCTTACCATTGTCTCAGAGAAACTTATTTTACACCATCAATTTCCTTTTCAAGACCTCATGACATTGACTTCAGTCCCTTTCCCAGAACATACTAATGCTGCTGAGTCCCAAATGAAGACATGCTGACCTTCAAGAAAGAGCACCCAGTTCTCAGGTCTCCCCCTAGGTAAGGGAAGTTCAGCAAGACTCAGGTCTGCGGAGGAGCCCCTTATGGTAGCTTTGCGGTAGTGACTTCGCTGAAGGCTAGGTGGCAGAATAGATACACCATTCAAAACACGCCTCCTTTCCCGAAGGGGGAGAAGTAGATGCTGGCTGAATTTAACAATGGGGATCAGGCCTGGGGGAAGCAAAATCTTGGGTGGAGGGCCATACTGTATAACCACACACGGTGGGTTCACTTATGTGTCACCTCAGCCTTGTCGACATTGCTCATACCATCCGGATTCTTGCCTGAGCTGCAAAAATCCCCCAGATCCAACAGGCAGCTGCCTTCAGGATCCCTGGGAGATGAGATACAGCCAATGCAGAAGTTGATGACTTTTAGGTTCATCAAAGGATGTCCTGCAACTTCTCTGACAATTAATTAGAATGTGATCTTCCCATCAAGTGCATAACAATTTTCCTTTTTCCATTTTAAAATGTTAATTATGGCATATTTTGTACAAAGAACAGAAGCTAATCTAACAGCTAATATGTACTCTCCACACTTGTGGAATGCATGTTAACATTTTGCCATCATTATTGAAGATTTTTGTTAGGAAACAGCCCAGTGTTACAGGTAAGAACTTACCTCCTGCTCCATCCCATCCCAGCCTCTTCCCTTGGTCGAAGTAATCGCTCTCTTGACATATCTTTTTTTGCACAATGTTTTTCTAGGTTTTATATGAAGTTTCTTATGGAGCAAAGTTAGGATGATTTGGAGGGTCAAACCACATGCTGCTTTAAGTGTTAAAGTTTGGTAGTGGTGCCTCTTGCAGTGGTAATTAACTAGAGTCTCCATTGACCCTAAGGCTGACTATTAAAGGAGCAGGAGCCAACTG